ATTTATTGTTTTTATGTTCAGTCTCAACTGTTACGAAGTTGATGTGCAGTTAATAAGTGCAATAAATATTTATACTGGAAAAGAAAATCGTGAGAGAATCGTGATCTCAATTCTAAGCAAAAAAATCGTGATTCTCATTTTATGCAAAATCGTGCAGCCCTAGTATTAAATAAAGAAATATTTTTTAAAGTCTGATAAGATTTAAAGATTATTGTTAGCAAGTATCAGAACACATTTTAGAATCCAGAGTAACTGTATGATGTTACAGCACCAGTTTAAACAGACATAACTAAGTGGACAGAACCATACACTAACCAAAGATAGACATCATTAATATTTGTGTCAGAATAAAGATGAATGCATGCTGACCGCAGCTCCTATAACACACCTGATGGAACTGTAAACCAACAGCAACAAGTGGCTGGGTTCCAGCCCAAATCTATTATGTAAACTATGTTGCTGTCAGATTATTGTTTGTTTTCATTAAACCAGATGCTCCTATAGTTGGCTGACAGGGTATACCTGGTAAAACAGCTGACTACCTGGTTTGTATTTCAGTACATCAAGAAGAAACACTACCCACGTGTTTTTCACAGTGGCCATGCTCTGAACTATACATCACCATCAGCCTTAATGCAGATTTTGGAAAATATATTTATTTCTGCTCTAAAGTTTGGGATTTCAGCACGGGAGTCTACGGGGGCTGGCTCAGCCAACTGCAGTCACGTTGATGACATGACTGGTCTTAACAAACTGCACACTGGCACATTATTTGTCTTCATCTTAAAGTCGATAAATGTTGCTAATGTTCAAGTTAAAACTGAATTGTAGCAGTTTTCATCAGCTTTCTCTGTATTCTTGTAACCACGGTTGCAAATACTCACTTTTAAAATGATCTGAAGTCACTTAGATAAACTGTCTGCACCTTCAACCAAAGTTCTGCCACACGCATTCAAGTTTTGCAGAGGGTGAGACCAAAGTGATGTGCGTCTGTGATAATGGCGGCGCCATGGCAGTGGCAGGACACAACCCCAAACCCACACACACAGACACTGATAAGCATCACCTCCATCCCTCGGCCTGGCTCTGTCCTGTCTCTCTCTGCTCTGAAGCAGTGAGAGAACACAGAAAACACAGAGGACGCTGGCTGGAGATGGCTGAAGGAAGAAGATGAGCAGAGGTGGAAGCAGAGATGTCACCATATCAGAAATGTCGTTGTCAGTACAGGTAGAATTTCACATTCCCCACATTCAAAATCACCCTACACACTGCCTGCATATTCCCTTTTACGAATCAATATCATCCCTTAATAACTGCTTTAAGTCCTCGGTTCATATGCGGCATCTTCAGAATTTTTGCATCGAACGGTTCTGGTGACGTCCCTCTGTCAAAGTGAAAGACACGTAACGCTCTGAAGATCACAGCAGAGCTGCCTCACCAATGAAACTGAAAGGTTATCCAATGCTTTTGTTTTATCACCACAAAAACTGCAAATATGTAAACAAATAAGCACATCAGAGGATGTAAATGAACATTTACCTCAACAGTTTATCATAGAGCCTGCGTGAATGAGCTTCAAGAGCCACAAAGACTCAATAAGAAAGACATCTGTAATGTGTTTCAGTATTATAAATCACAAGGTTTATAATTTATTTCATTATTAAATAATTAAATAAATACCAAAATTCCAAGCAGTGAAGACAGACGATAAATCAGTGTGGGTACTATAAACACAGACTAATATATTTGTGTATGTCAAACTTAATTTGCCTCCTCTTTAAACATTTCAGCGTAATCTTTGGATTTCATTATATTGTTTAATTTATTATAAATGTACAATTAATCATTGTGAAACAGCTTTAACCATTAATAATTACATTACTGAAAAAAAGATTTGTTCTTCATAATCTGTGAAGTGGAATTTAATTCTATCAAATCTACATGTTAACAAAATAGTCGGGCACCTTCTGTTTTTCTTTTCTTTAAAACACGATATTACAGCCGAATGTGTGGGATTTGTTTTGTAACATGTATTTAAATAATGTAAATACAGGTTATGGGTGAATGGCAGAAAGTGGTCATGTTAAATAGCAAAGACAAACACGGTAAATAAATAATGGTCAAACCGCATCTACGTGAATCGGTTCATAAAGCACCTCTGTTGAAAAGCAAAGGCTGGACGACAAAAGACGTGCAATCAGATGTGTAAAACTATTTGTGACACACCTTCTTGTGACACCCGTCGCAAATATTTCTTGACGCCTGACTGAGCGAGCGGTGGCTGTGTGTCAGTGTGAGGGCAGATCAGATGAATGAAACTCTGTCACAAGACGCAGCAGATAATGCCACAGATGCCACAGACGCTTCTCTATCTCCTTTATCAAACGCAGAACAACAGGATATAATGTCACGCAATAAAGGATGATTCCTTGAACCCACTGGCAGTAGGACCAGGCTCACAAACACACTTTCGCAATGCCTGTGTTGAGAGTAAAAGACATATTTTACAGGAAATCCTCTGAGTGGGATTGGATTATCAAACATCATAACCAGATTAAAGCAGCCATGCTATTAAAGATCACTTGGAGTCAAATCAATCCTGTCAAATAGCTAATAGACTTTGCAAGCCTATTCAGACACACTGTCACACAGTGCATATAAATACACTGGAATACAACAGCAATGCCAGAGAACATCTATAGCTGTGTATGGTGGGATGTAGCAGAAGTGCAGATTAAGAGTGTAAAAGGCTTTGTACTCCTAATCCACCTGGATGGGATTGTTCAGCTGTTATTCAATAACAGAGCGAATCTCTTTGCAGATATGGTCATAAACATGACTATCGTGCAGTTAGCTGGGTTAGGCTAATTGGCAGCTCGAAACTGCCCGTAGGTGTGAATGCGTGTCTGTGCATCAGACTGGTGACCCGTCCAGGGTGTACCCTGGGATAGGCTCCAGCCCCACGCCCCTGACAAGGATGAGTGGAGAGGGGCATGAGTGGATGGTGTTTTTTAAAATGATTTATATCCTTTCGTGTTACACCTTGGAAACGTGTCTGTCATAAACCTTGAAGCAAAGAAATGATTACCTGTTACTTCTATTAGTATGCACCTCTTCAAAAAAGCACAGTTATTTTGGGACACTTACTTTATAATTGCAACCAGGAATGTTAGAGCACTTTAGCCCACTTATAGACATTTTTTGTGTTTTTTGTGTTCGTCTAGTTTATACCATAAACCTAACTGCTTAAATGTGTAAATAAATTAAAGAGAAAGAAGTAAGTGAATAAAGTGTTTTTTAAATTCTAATGAATTTTTACATTTTCAATTTCTATGGCCTATAAAAATGCGTCTCATTGCCAAGACGTCACAAAAGAAACATCTCATGATAAAACCAGTGAGCTCTAAGTTGTTGCAAAACATACTGATAGTTGTAGAAGAATTTCTAAGGCTACGTTCACTCTGCAGGTCTTAAAGCTCAATTCCAATTTTTTGATCAAATCCGATGTTTTTGTCTGCTCGTTCACACTACAAATAAAATGCGACAGCAAACGCGCTCTAGTGTGAACGCTCAAAGCGGCGCATGCACAAAAGAAGACGTCACACACAACGCGCTCTGTTTAGACCCAGAGCAAACAGTATTGTTTGACTGATGGCCTTAATCTAAAGACTTCGGACTTCACGTTTCCCAATTTTTGCTTTAAGTTATTTTGTTATTTACATAATAATGTAAATAGTTGTAGAAGAATTTCATTTACATAATAATGTAAATAACCTAATAATGATCCTTATTGCTGTTTTAGAGAGGAGCAGTGCTTCTAGCTGCAGATTTCTGCCAGAATCTGCAGATTATACAGTACAAAAAAATGTTCACGTTTCTCCAACATTGTCTTCCCAACAGTTTCACTGACATCTACACGGGATGGCCAGGAAGCGTTCACAATGTCTTCTCCGGAGCAGATAATTGGCGTCTGTCTTGTGTCAGTGACATAAAAGACGGATTTAATGCGACATGACCATCAAACAGCAGTCGCTTTCTGAAACATCAGATATGTATCGGATTCAGCACCAGGTCGGATTTGAAAATATCGGATTTGTGCCGTTCACACTGTCAGACCATGATCGGATATGGGTCGCATAGGGTCAAAAAATCGGATTTGATGCGCTTTCGCCTGCAGTGTGAACGTAGCCTAAGGTGTCAGTGGGGCTATAATCCAGAAATGGAAATCCCTTTCACCTTAAACTGGTGCTCATTTCAAACAGGAAGGAAAACAATTATCAGAAGAGTTGTCCAAGAAGCAAGGATCACTTCTGGAGAGCAACAGAAAGACCTGGAATCAGGAGGTACAAGTGATTAAAAAAATAAATAAATAATGCACTCAACCACCATGGCCTTTATGAACACTCACCACACTCGGTGGGTTAAGAAAAAGCATGCTGAAAGCAGGTTTAAAGGTTGCTGACCAACATTTAGACACGGCTGTGAAATACAAGGTCAAAAGGCGCTGCGCATATCACCCCCAAAACACAAAAAACCCTGCTGCCATCCACCAGGATGATGACGAGGAAACGTCGAGGAGACTCAGTACAGCTGTTATTGCTAATTGAAACTCTATGGAATGAACTAAAGCTCAGAGTTTATGGGGAGGACCCACGAAGACTTTTTGTGTGGAAGACGAACCTGAGCAACTAGTTTTTTCATATTGGACATCACCAACAAAAGCTTTTGTATCAAGTGTATAAACATACACTTTTTCTGTGTCATTTTTCATTATTAGACATAACTGTCGATTTGATAGGTTTTAACATCTGCATGAATGTGTGAAGTACAGAAGACAGAGCGGAAACAATGTAACAGCCTCAGCTGATATAACTGATGGGAACAAGATACAACGCATTTAACAACTTCACACCTCAGCAAAGTATCTGCAGTAAAACAATGAAAGAGAAGAAGCAAAGGTGTACCGCAAAACAGAAGAGGGGATGTTTAAAGTTTCTTACCTGATCCTGCATCCATGATGTTGGACTGGCCACGACGATCAGCCACCAACCGCGATGAGCCGGGCATGCTGACAGGCTCTGAACGTACTGGCTGGATCCTAAAAATGTTTGTTATGCATCCGTTAATACACACACTCACACACGCGCACACATAAAGAACACACATCCACTGGGATCCAGATGCTTATTTAACTGGATCTGGTCTGTTGTTTCAGTGATTAAGTATAAAGCTGCTGATACTACAGGCTTCATTGATGTGGACTCTATCCATGATTATTAGAATATTAGGATAATTTCTGATTAATGACCAGCTCCACGTGTAGATCGTCTTTGCGTTTAGGCTGGTGTGTATTTCTATGAGAACAAATTTAAAGTATACCTGAGGCTGTGGAGGTCCAGGTCGTCTGTGTCAAAGTCCAGAAGGGGCTGCTGAACATCGCTGGGGCCCTGGGACTGAAGCACCGAGGATGAAGAGGAGATGACTGTGGTCTGGCCTGAAGGATGAATTGTCTTAAACTGAAACTGGGGGCCCATCCACAGGCGCCGATGGGGGCCTGTATGAGTCACAATCTCCACCTGAAATCAGAGGTTTAAACTAAATAAGGTTCATTCAATTCAGTTTTATTTAGATTCTTAGGAAGATGCATTCATTTGTCTAACGTGCTCCAGGCTGGATTTCACAGGGTGGCTCTGGCATCTATGTGCCAACGCTGAAAAATCCCATGCAGTACTCAGATGAACTCAGTTACATGGCATCAAACTAAAAGCTTGCTGTACTTGTGTACCACTAAAAGTCTGACGATGATGTCAGAACTCATCAATGTCTTGTGTGTGTTGGAAGTGCTAGCAGCCTGATGGGAAGCCTTCCCAGAGGGTTAATAGAAGTGTGACACTAGCAACGGCGTGGCAGCAAAGCTGAGGTGAGGCCTACAGGGACAATAAGATGGCACTGCTATGGCAGGCGGTCCATGGGCGCCTGAGCTGAGTGGCACTAATGCTGGCTAAAAGTAGGATAGGAGAAGGTTATGGAGTGGCTCACTCATAAACATCAGACTATTACTGCCTCGTCTATTCTCCATCTCCTCTTTGCCTTTATTGAACAGCCGTCTCCTGCCTCGCACTCCTGCTTTTCACTGCTCTCCCAAGCCGTCTCTACTTTGAATCCCTGCAGCAATTAGCACGCCTCTTGGTGTCTCGCTATTCGGATGTCATTATCTTTACTTCATACACATCTGTCTCTCAGCTCAGCTGAGTATTTTCTTCCACTATGGCTTCCATGTGCTAACATCTTAAACAATCTCAACTTTGCTGTGTCTGTTTACACAGACATTAGATATGTGAGGTTCATCACAGCTGTGCAAATTAGGCCACAGAAGGAGGGAGGATTGTCACTTTGCATGTGTGTATGCTTTTCCAGTTAACACCATCAATGTCACGCCCAGCTGCAGAGCCGAGACAGCTGCCAGCGTGCTCTCTTTGCAATGGCACGGTAGGTCCAGATGTTACAGTCCAGTATCAACCCCAAATGCACATCCCCTTGCAGACTTGTTGGACAGAGCTAGTTGACATGTTGCCACAGATTTGCCCATGCTGCTGTAGCCTCGACACCAAATGAGATCAAGCTAGCTGCCTCTGTCTGTGCAAAACATTTTTTTTTCTCTCAACCTTCGCATTTTCTCCTTCTTTATAGGCTGAATATTTTTACTCTTATAGCATCAGTACTATCTTTAGAAAGTAAGAAAAAAAGACGAACATCCTGTGCAAGTTTGGCTATTTTGACTGGCATCTTATAAATGACTGTCTGAGGTTAAGAAGCTGCACAAATATTGGCTAAGCTAATTTGCTTGTCAGTTGTTTTCATTTAGCGAAGTATTTACCATAAGCATTTAAGGGGTTGTGCTTGTGCATTTTTTAAATGTTCCTGTTATCTAATACTTAAAGGCAACACATCTCTTGCAAATTAACTGTCCTCTAATCCATTTACGTATTAGGAGACAATTAAGAGATGAACCGAGGTGGACTGTATAAGGACAGGAGTTTGTGTTGTCTACTCAGTCAGCTGAAGGGCAACTGACACTGACAGGCACCAAATGGCACAGCACTGCAGTGAGCTGAAGCACTGACATGGAGGGTCACAAACCTCACATTTCATTAGGGGATGGCCGATCAATTCTAAATCCCAATCTAATGCCAAAATGCCCACTGAAAATCTAATGAGGGCCACTGATATGATATAATGAAATCCACGAGGCAGTAGTTAGCCTCTAATTCAATATAGCCTATATGTATTTAGCTCTTCTCAATCCACAAAGCTATTATGCTTGGTATCTACGCTTTTCTTCATATTCTAGAGAAACCGAAGCAAAGAGGAAACTAACCAGTATACCCATATATCAGTTATGGTATAATATCCCAAATTCTTTGTCCAAATCATTTAATTTTAATGCTGGAAGAGCTGTAGAGTTAAATCTTCAACCACTGACACATACATTTTTATCACTGCTCTGACAGGAAGTCACCCAAAATACAGGTTAGTGCGAGGGATAGTTTTGCTCCTGGCAAACTATCATGGCAGATTTGAACCAGGGCCTCTGCTAGCTAAGCGAAGTACATTTTACCCAATCAATTATGTATGCAGTGGAATTATTGATGATGAAAATGTAGTGGGCTACCTGCCGACACTAGCGATAAGTGCTACTTGTGTTAACCAAGCTGAGAAGACCTGGGTGAGTGTGTCGCGCACTCAACCAGGTTATTTCAGTACAGATTTGAATTGTGTTTTTATCAGGTAAAAATACAAAATAATTTGTTTTTACAACACAATCACACAGTTATGTCAAAACATATTAAAATAAGGACAGTTATGTGTAGGGTTTTCACTTGGGTTGGGAAGAATTTTCCAACTAAAATAATTTACATTTTTAAATTATAATTTACCTTCTTTCCATCATTAAGGGGAAAAAGCTATCCAAATCTACCTGGCCCTGGTGAACTGGTGGCAGCAGCAAGAACTGCAATCAAGCATTTGAGATAACTGGCAATGAGGGTTTCACTGTGGAGGAACTCGGGGGATTTTCTGAGCATGACCAGCCTATTTTGGTCATGCCAAGTTATCTCAATTAGACTCATGTCCAAACTTTGAACAGGCCTCTCCAAAGCATTTCATTTGGTTTAATTTGATTTTTTGTCTATTCTGAAATTGACTTGCTGGTGTTTCAGATCATTGCCTTGCTCCATAACCCAAGTTCGCGTCAGCTTCAGCTGAAGAACGGATGGCTGGACATTTTAATTCAAGATTTTCTGTTAGAGAGCAGAATTTATCATTCCACCGATTACGACAAGTCATTCAGGTCCCGAAGCAGCAAAGCATTTCCCAAAGTCTTGGGGGTCATAAAGATGTTTCTGGCAAACGTGAGGGAGGCTTTTTTGGTCAGCAGTGGTTTTCCATGGGAACTCCTGTGGATGTCATTTTTGCACAGCCCCTTTCTTACTGCTGAATCATGACGTTTGACCTTAACTGAGGAAAGCGAGGCCTGCAGTTCTTTAGATGCTTTTTTTGGTAATTTTGTGATCTCTTCGAGTAAGCTGGGTAGATCAGCAACCCCTGGGAAGGTTAACGCTGGTCACAATTTTCTCAATTTGTGGAGAAATGACTGACAGTCTTGTTCACTGTAGTTCTAAAGTCTTAGAATAGTTTTTGTAACCTTTACTAGACTAAGAGATTTGAGTGAGTTTCTTATCTGTTCTTGGGCGTCTTTAGCTCATGGCATGGTGTGTTGCATTTGAGCTTTTAGCCTGGTTCACTATGTTCGGTGTGCCAGGAAATCAAACTCAGCTTTTTTCAAAAAATTTGGTTAATCATAGTAAATTTATTAGGGTAGGGGATTACTTTTTCACACAAGGCCAGGTAGGTTTGGATAGGAAAATAATTTCATGATCTGTATGTTAACAAAAACCCTTTTTGTAAACAATAAACGAAGGAGACAACTTCAGACGACTGTATAATTATAGCAAAGAGACAGTGCAAAAGAGTTGCTAACCCCACTAGTTTATGCATTTGCAACAAAATTTCTATTAACCTGATGAATGTCAAGTTATTATCTTCCTTTGAACTTTTTTAATCTCTCTAACTATTCAGATTTGACTGATGCTCCAGTGTTTACTCGCTGATATCAGTGAGTAAACACTGGAGCATCAGGTGGAGGTTCAGTGGATAGATAAAACCTTTCCTGCTTAAGCTAAAAACAAGCCTATGCCATATTATGGCACAAGAGTCCCACTGTGAGCTGTCTTCTTTTAAATTACACACAGTTACTTGACCCACAGATTACACTAAAAAGTGCAAACTTATTTTTTGTAATCCAGGATCAAGTTCAGGAGCAGGTCTAACTTTAATATGATGTTTGCAATGAAGAGTCATTAACTGATTTATCAGCGCTCTGAATTGGTATTTGTTCATTGTATTTTTAATTTAGAAGAAATAAAATCAAAATATGAAACATTTTCTTCTTAAGTTACCGTCATGTCATGTCAAACAGAAGCTTTACCTGAGAGAGCCACTCCTCATCCTCCTGGCCACTGTGGTCTGATGCCAGACTGTCGGATGACTCGTGACGTGTGATTGGGCCGGGGCTTCCTGGGGGTACAGCTGGGGAAAAAAGAATACACAAGAATGATATACTTGAAAGCTGACGATAGCCAACGCCTAGTACCGTCACAGTTCTCAAGCCAAAAGATTAAGTGTAAAAGTCAAGTTCCATCCCTCTAAATACATTTACAGCTATTGGAAAAGGATATCAGAAAGGCAAAGCAGGGCAATGAATCTCATATTACTAATTAGAATTTACACAAATTAGCATGTAAAACTAATTAGACCTTAAAAGCGGTTTACCAAAGTGTGTTATTACAGCCTAAATGTGTGATTAGGCCTTTGTGTATGAGCATATACATTGTATACCATACACATGGGCTGAGTGACGTTAGTTTAAGCTAAGATACAATAAATTTACAGTTAATGACTCGCTGGATGAAAGCTAGTGTTTTGGGACAACATCAAAAATCTCAATCCCATGTTCTCATGTGTATGTCGGTGTATGCAAGCGTTAGTAAAAAAGCAAGAGTACAGTGAATGTCTGTGTGTTACAGAGAGACTCAGGGACAGATGGCGCTCCAGAAGGCTTGAGTAAGCAGGGATGGAGAGAACGAGCCCTGATGCGCAGAATCAGTCTTTCTCCGTCTCCCACCCCAGGGATGGAGTTTCTTTAACACAAGCATGGCTAATACACTCGTCAAGTCAACATCTGGAGCACAGGAGGCACTTCTAACTATATCCCCATACACGCTCCAGGTGTTCGGACATCCTCGATGGAGGCAGTTTGGTCTTTGACGCCTGTTTAGCAAAATGCCACATCATCCCTCACCCACACCTCACCCCAACACACTCACACAGAACTATGCCGTCACATGTTTCTTAAACTTGGTTCTGAAACAAAAACCCAAACTGATCTGATGACTGAGTGTCATCTGCAACTCCAAATCATATCAGTACAACTAAAAGGAGAAATGAGTAAAAGTGCCCGGGGAAGTCGTAAAAAACATTGTGGCATAACAAATTCAACACACTGAAGGCTTCCTGTGGTCTTGAAAAAATAAGAGTGTTTGCCTCTTAACAAGTGGCCAAACAGAAATATGAGACTTTTTAATACCAAAAGCTTCTCCTTATTTCCTATTTGACAAACAGAGGCTACTTTTTCCAGGACAGCTTGAACTATTCTGGTGCTCTGAAATATTTATTCCCCTTTTGTCAACTGACAGAATTATGTCCTTATATCTATAAGCATATTAGATTTAACTGACTTAAGTGGATACAATCATTAGACAGTGAATCAACATTTTCTGAGTAATAATAATAATTAAAAAAGCAACTATGTAACTGTGATTTTATTAACTGGTTCTTTGTGTTATGGTGGTGCTAGTAAGATACTCCATGCAACTGTACAGTGTGATTTAAAGGAAAGCTTTGACTCAATTTTTATTAAATACAAAACATCTCTCCAAGCAACTGCCGTAGGTCACTATTGCACGTCATGGATACAGTGTCTATTTTCTCTTCCGCACTGTAGCTAAGACAAGCTCAGGCTGGTGTTTGTAGCAGGAGAGTTCAGATCTCAGTTTTGTGTCTAGTCAATAAAAAGCAACAGAGATGAGCTGAAATGTGGTAAAGGTCCTTACAGGGGAAGAAAGTGTGATATATATGATATGTTGTGGATCATGCATGCCTGCGTGTTACCCACAAAAATACAGACAAGTACCATTGTCATTTTTTAACAATGTAACCATTTCTTCGTATTTATAAAACAAGATTAATAGCATCACAGTGGCCTGGCATATGTACATATGTACTAAACAGTGTGAGGAATTTTGGGTATGCAACCTAAGCATGCATACTCAAAAATAAAAGCACATAGCTTGGCAGTGATGACACTTTTTATTGTTTTTAATAGTTGATTTCACTTCTTTGTATGTTATAACTTTAGTCTTCTGCCATTGGTTGAAGGACCCAAAATGGCCCAAGCAAGAGCAGCCCACAGACAGGCTGCTGCACATACTTTTCACTCTACCCTCTGGTGATTGTAAATGACTACAACATGTAAAATGACGGTCTGCAAAGCCAATAAAAGCAAAAAACACCTGCATGTTGAGTACTTGTGAATACATCAAATATGTTTTTGTTGCTTTGCTTCTTATTTGGGAGAAGCGACCCTTTCATGACCTACAGATGTCCTGGAGAGGAAAAGTGTGTAAGGCTTACAGTAAGAGGGAGAAACAGGGAGAGAAGGTTTCTCATGTCCTTTTAATGGAAGAGAGCTGAACAAAGCCTGCATTGTGTTACTTATTAAACAAAATCACAACTCCCCTATTTCCTCCCGGTGCATTCGCTCTCCGACTTGGCTGTCCCTCACTCTCTTGTTCTCCTTCACTCTCTCTCTCCCTGCTCTCTGACCCTTGGGGCCAATAGCTGTTCCCTAATTAATTATTGATGTTCTAAAGCAGTTGTTGGACTGGCTGGATCGGGTTTCCAGTGGGTGGGTGTGGGGGTTTTCAATGGTCAGTGTCGCAGCCAGGCTCCATTATGGAGAGCTAGTGGTCATCCCCATGGGTCAGGCAAAGACACAACCCTTTTGCACGTGTTTGTTAGTGTGTATGTCAGGAGCCAGACTGACACTAGCAGTTACTGTAGTATCTACTCATCATAGCATCTAGCTAGCCAACCACTCGGCCTTCTGCTGCTTCTATAGTGGTCATTAGTGGCTTTTAAGAGACAGAATGTCAATGCAATTTCACAGAGAGCAAATTTTTTAAGTGCAAACGTATCACATTGCACTCAAGAAAGGAGTCTCATTGTATAGTTAGATCCACAGCGAATATGTTCTGTTGTTGATGGATTTAAAGACACATCAGCAAATGAGCAAGTGGCACGGTGCCATCACCCCACAACCATCACAGCAATGGAAAAGGACGGGTCAGTGGGAAATTTAGGAAAATGTACTATATGTTCTCGGACTCCCGGTATGGATTCTTTGACTTTTTTCTTTTTTAATTTATTGAGCCTTCATCAAGCAAACCTTTCCTTTCCATACAATCTTTGAAGTCAAGTCTGTAAAACCCTTTCCTGTTACAAAACTGCAATAATCTTATCTGTATGTGATGGACAAAAAAGAAAGTACCGACTACGTCCTCATAAGTATACATTAGACCCAACAAACAGCAAACTGCTAGCTATGCTAATGGTCTGCTGGACATTTCATAAACAAATCTCGTCTTAATGGATGAAGAGCTGAGAGAAAACAAACCTATAACTACTAATTCTTTGTGAAATATTAAACAAAATTAATATTTCTTGTAAAAGTGTATGATATTAAAATCGAGTTGCTGGCACATGATTGAGAAAACATCAAAAGCCTCACTTTACCAAGGAGAGTGATATATATTTAAAATTGAACTATAGTGTATGAAGCATCTATATTTGTTAACCAAAGGAAGCACCTTGATCATTAATCAGCAGACTGAGTCAGTAAGGTGAACTGTCACCTGCAATTTATAATTACGGCTCTTTTATTTACTTTGGTGCTTTTGCTAATATATACACAAATAAAGGGACTCCCACTCCACCCGTAATCATCTACCACACAACCACCAACAAGGAACAGAGTTGTCTGTGTCACAGTCTTTATTGACTGCGAAGAGAGAGGCGCTTTGCTGTGCTGAAGGCCAGTAGCCAATGGCCTGTTAGTCAGAGCAGTGAAGCAGAGAGTCAGAACAAGAACAAAGGCTGCCTAGGTATTGATGTAGCCTGACCTCCTGGGGACTAGGGGCCAGGGGCCAGACAGGCTGATCTCCAGGGAAAGATAAGGGGCTAACAATCTGATAGATCTGGAAAGCTGGCCGCACGGTGGACACAGGACCTTGTCTCGAACGCTTACTCTGTTCTAATTTTTGTGGATGATTTTTTGTCTTTTTATATTTTTTTTCTCCCGCCTTTGTAGTCCACCCTGAATTTTTTTGTAGCCAGACACTTCACTCACTATGCTTCTTCTTCTAACTTCTCCACCTGTCTTTCTTCTCACTTTCCTCTTCTGAGTACTGCTCTGGCAGATAGGTGCTGGCATACTGACAGAGTGGGATAGCTTAGTCATTATGTATCATTCAGTGCGCAATTGACTGACAGTTCCTTCATTCATCCAGCGCTACACTTACTGCATCCTTTCTCTGCCTCCCTTTGATTACTGACCCAGTCATGGCGCCACGGTTTCTCTTTACCAAATGCCTGATGCTCCAGAGCCTTCACTCTGGCCCCTCTCTCGAAGCAATTAGATCTATTGACGAGGCAACTGTGGCTGGCCTGTCATGGGCCTCAAAGTCCCAAAAGAACTGCCAAACCAGCCAGTCAGTCAGTCTCCACAATTAGCACATTATATGACAGGTAGGGAGGGGAGGGCGTGGCCAAAAAGCATAGCCTCAATTTCTGTCACCAGGCTCAAAGGAGCCAGCCAGAAATCTAGGTGGTAAATTATTCACCGGTTTGTTTGCACCAGAGCAGCTTTGCGGTGAGGGAGGGAGGTGTTGGAAAACATTTTGTGCACAGCTAGATAAATATCAGCCTCCCGCTAACGCCACAAAAAAATACAAAAAACTGGATGTAGTTAATGAGGCTGCAAACACTTCGCATTCCTTCCTTCAGTTATTCTGTTACCCCTCTCCGACACCTTAGACCAAAAGCAAAGGAAAAAGGGCCTATCCCCACACTCACCCAAATGAGCACTTTTTGGGAAACAGAGATTCTATGTTTCCACTTCGCTGCGAGAGGATTCCCCAAACACCAACAACAAGTCTGCTTTTATTAAGCCAGATCGTGCTACAGAATCTCATCTGTTGTGAGTATACTGTGCCTCTCTCTCTGCCTTATCTCTGTGAGCAGTGCTGTGCGTTGTTATATCTTCTACTTGGCTGAGTGCTGCCAGTAGCTGCTATAGATGGACAGGTAGAGATAGTGACCATGAAGTGGCGCCACCGCTGCCTTTTATCATCCCGTCCTGGAGGCTCCGGTCTGGCCTGACCCTGGCCCTTCCTCTCCCCTTTCTATTCCTTTCCCTGTATATTGCATTTTTAATCAGGCTGGGTCATCCAATACAGAGCCACGAGACTGGAGACCATGGCCTGTCAGTCAAGTGCTGCCACCTTTTTTCCTTGCACCACCTTTCTAGAAACATGGTCTGTCTGTAGGACAATTAGCTAAAAGGGACATTTATGGAGACGTCTTGCCCTCCCTTTCTTTAGATCTTTTACTGCCCCCGTTTCTCAGTCAGCTATTTTCTCCCTCGTGATGCATGTTATCAGCAATGTAAAGTACACCTATATAACACAAGAGCCATGTGCGTTTTCAGTTTCCTATGTCTCGATATTTATGCTCAGCAAGAGGCTGGACCGGCAGCTTACGGCCGTGCTGCAATTCATCCCGAGGTCAAATCGAGCCCTTCTCCTGGATCACTTCTTTGCCGTGCTGCCAAGCCCTGGAGGAAACGGCAAAGGAGACGGGCTGGCAAAAGGAGCGCATGCTGAGAAATAGGACGTTGAGAGTCGCTGCCCGGGTGCAAAGCGCAGAAATGGAAGATGGCACTCCGAGAGCAGCTCAGTCGGTGGTGGTGGTGTATACGACGCTAACCAGAGGGAACATGGCAAGAGCACAAGACGTGGGCAGAGTGCTGAACAATTATGTTTATAGTGTCTTGACCTCCCATGACTTCACACTTGGTTGGTTATAGGAATAAAGAGCCACAACCGTGTTATCTGGCTATTGTTAATTGGATGTAAATGTTAATGCAATGAATCTCTCTCATTATGCAGCCAGTTCCGCTGCCCATGCTGGCAGAGAGTGGTGGAATAAACTGACGCCCGAGCCCATCACTCCGACGCGCTCTCATTGCTCTGACACTAGGAGAGACCATTAGCACTAATTTGAGAAAATATCCTACCAGTTAGACCTGAAGCACTGCAGAAGCCAACAGAGACGAGCAGAGAGATTAGGGTAAACATAGCTACCACTTGCCCCCGAGCACCCGCAAGAGCTAATCATAGATTTTGTATGTTTATAATTATGGAGTGAGCTCAAAACGCCAGCCTGTTCCACGGGGGTGGATTGATTCCGTGTGTGGCCATCCATGTGCACTCTGCGCTTTTGCAAAATGGCCTTTCAGATGGCACCCTAAAGTGCTCACCGCTCTGCACTTGTTATTGAATTAGAGGGAGTTTAGGGTGTCAGCTAATTGGTCTGCGCGCGGCATCTTATAGCATTGCGTTGGCATGTCCTCAAGCACACGTGTAGTGTGGCTGCCTAAGGACAAATTCAAGGTTCCTCACAGAAGAGAAAAACTACAAGGATTTGCGACAGTGCTCAGAGGACATGAAATGGTGGAAATGGCAGAGAGCTCTTTCCCTCCGGTATCTGAATAATAAAATATTATGGGTGATGACCAGAAAGATCCTTTCTCGGCATGTGGTTCCAATAAGGGGCTGATGGTCTGCTTTCAACATAGTCAACATGAAAAACCACTGGGGAACTGTTCGTTTCTTCATATTTATATATGTGTGTGTGCACGATATGTGTGCGCATGTGTATGTGGATTCATATTTGCAAAAAGCTGTCTGTCTGACAGTTAGGGTTAAGGCTGAGGGTTAGGATCTCTCAAATCATTTTGATTGCTTAATTTGAATAATAATAAAAACTAGAGACGTACTGATAGCCAGGGAGTAATCAGCTATTATCCAGCATTCTTGGTCCTTACCAGTGAGTGGCTGGTCAGCCTGACGTGTGTCAGATTATGAGCTCTTCAAACAAAGCTCATCAAAGTGAAGTGTTGGGGAAGCAGCACGACACGTTCATAACAACAAACCTGATGAGACACTCCACCCGCGTGAACACTGACATTTTAAAGAAGCTAAAAGTGACTAAAGCTGCAGTTATCCAGGACTCAGGGCCAACATGAAGGATCGAAGCAGTTCAGAGGAAAATGATGGAGAAAAGGCTCAATGTCCTGATATCTCACGACGGTATAACTGTACTGGAAAATTATTTTATTGCCTGATTTTTGTCATTTATATAAATCTGTTACTTTGTTTGGTAAGGTAGAATATGATAAAGGATATGAGCGTACAGCAACTCATTTTTAGGTATTTATTAGTGACTCTTTCAAGGAGTTTTAAAAATTATTTTATTATGAAAAGAACATTTTTCACTAAAGAAAAGTTGGTTTTTGCTTGTAATGTTGATCAGACGTAGAAAAATATATCAGAAATCAACATAATTGCGAGCAGTACAACATAGGGCTGGGCGATATGACCCAAAATTGATATCTCGATATTTTTTAGCTGGATGGTGATATACGATATATATCTCGATTTTTTTTTTTTAAGCAATATGATAATATTACGTTGAAGCACAGTACGTATCACTCCGCGAGGCTCCGGACTACGGTAGCCGTAATGCTCCGACAATCCATCAAGCGCCGCAGCTCCGTAGCTTACCAAAGTCGAACTAAAACATTTTTTGACAGATTGCTGAGCGCCGTGTACCACATAAAATCGGTTCGTGGTCAGTAAGCACAACCAGAATTCATACATAAGGCGCACTGTCGATTTTTGAGAAAATAAAAGGATTTTAGGTCATGCAGCTCCTGTGGGCTGCATGTCGTTAGCGCGGTTAGCTCGTTAGCGCGGTTAGCTCGCTAACACAACGCCGTCCAGCCCCACGCACGGGGCGATCCGCGGTAACTCGTTAACGGAGATTTGCCGTGTTCATCTTGTCGTTGCCTGCAGGTAAAGCTATGGGGGAGTTGTGTTCAGTGAAGGAGAGGCGAGGCCGAGTAACGCAGCGTAGAGACAAAAGTGGACGAAAGAGAGGCAAACTTGCGGCTCCACAAGTATAATTATACCGTAACATAGACTATATCGATATAAACGATATTGTCACATCTTATATCTCGTATGAAAATATATCGATATTTTAAAAAAACTCGATATATCGCCCAGCCCTAGTACAACACTGATGAAAACTTCTGCATTTTCAGTGACTGCATGTGATATTTGTGTACCAATGTATGCTACTTTCTGTTGCACTCTCTTTGTGGTATCCCCAACAATTCAACTATACTTTACTTTTATTCTGAAAGGGCCACAAGGAAATGTAGAAGCACATTTAGATGATCGTTTTACTCAGTGCTCTTAGCCCTGTGATACCAGTCTCTTGTTTATCAGTACCATGCTAACCTTACATTTAGAGCATGTGTTGGTACAACACCTTGACCTTTTTTACTTCCTGAAAATGCAGACTTCCATTCTATTTGAACACAACTTTATACTGTAAATACACTACAGTGTGTAAACTCAAGGAAAAGTACTTGTTTAACACTTACCAGCCAGGAGATATTGATAGTACTGCACTAGATCTGAGGCCAACACCAAAGGATGATTGGAGTTGAAAGGTGGCTGCAGCTCATTCCACTGTGGAGTCCTGCTCAAAAAGGACAAATCATCCATAAGACTTAGAGACACAGAGAAGCCGTGTCCTGCATCGAGTCTTCATCACAGCTTTACCTGGCTAGAATCCAGCAGGCCCTTGGACAGGTGTTGAGTTCTAACGGTGTGTCGTCGCTTATCTTTTGTGACGTGCTTAATGGCCGAGGTTCCAAGACGTGCTCCACCAAGTTACCATAGCAACTGACTACGTACAGCGAGTCCACAACCGACTGCCTGGACTGATCTGTGAGGAGGATGAGCAACAAGGCGAGGACAAGTTATTTGCAATAAGTGCAATAATAGCTATCGTAGAAGAATGCAAAGACAACCTGTCACCACAGTCTACCTTTCTCTCTTTTTATGTTGGGATTAGTGATGAACCAGGAGCGAGGTGACGCGAAGATGGCCGCCACGCAGAACTCTCCTCCGCTGGACTTGCTCGGTGAGATCTGGGGGGGTGGCTTAGATTTGCTTCAGGAGACGGAAAAGAAATTGAGACAAAGTAAATAATATAGTACAATGCAGGGGTCCAAAAAGTGAACCCGGTAGTGCTTCTATAGTTTAACATGTCAAGTCCTTTTGACTGGCTGGTATTGGCACAATGAGACAACTGCTTACTCTGATTTGTCAGTTATTAATTTGTGAATTCCAATAAATCCTTACCCCTCTTTAGTAAATACATCAACTACACATCACTTTCCATTGCTAGAAATGCCGCTGTGTGGAGGAGTAGCATACTTTTTGTCTTGTGCTGCAATAAGGTCAACAGTGCAATAATGTGTCTCAGTGTGGTGCTTATTGAAGCTATGTATCACCTTTAAGACCAATCTTTGTATGAATTATTTTTCCATAAAGCATAACAATCAAATGTAAATGTCAGCATTTTACATTAGACATGGATTGCACAGCAACATCTGTGAACAATTAACACAATATTGTAAAGAGCTTTGCATGCAAGGAACTAAGCAAGGGGAAACTGAAACACCTGCAAATAAAAACATCCACTGTTGCAGCAGAAAATGGGAAAATTAAGCTAGACATAAACATTGATGTAATGTGATATAAAACTGAGCCACCATCTAAGAGAATCTTCTTGTCTGAGAAGGACGGTAAGTAGTAGTACTACAAAGTACTAATAGTAATACTAGAAGTTATTCTTAGGATACATTTAGACCTTATATGGCTAAATGCAATCTTCTCCATTCACAACATTGACATGATTGGTATACTGCCTGTACACTTGCCTTATCTTAATACAAAACCACCTCTTTTTTCTCTTTAAACAACCACAGGACCTGGGCAATTTGTACTCATTCATTCGACCACAAACTCATTTGTATACCAAGCGTGCATGTATCAGCATATATCGAGTATTCTTGAGAAAAAACGTAAGGCCATCTGTCCGATATCTAAAGCTCGGCCTAAATCGAGTCAAACACAGTGATCCAAGCACACCGTCTAGTCTACAACAGGATGGCTGAAAAAGAGAAGAATCAAGGATGCTAAAATGCAAAGTCCAAACCTCAACCCAACCGAAATGCTGTGGTGGGACCTTAAGAGAGCTATGCATAAACAAATACCTGCAAACCTCAATGAACTGAAACAACATTGGAAAGGATGGGCCAAAATACCTCAGCTACGATGTGAGAAACGGGTACAGTCATGGAGAAAACAAGTACTCCAAGGTAATGTTGCTAAAGGGGGTTACATACACTGGATGGTGGACTCTAGTTGTTCTTTTACAGGACAATACAGATCCCAGCAAAAACCTTTTTCAGGGGTTTGTCACCAATTTTACTTTAAGTTTGGTAAGAATCAAAAAACGTTGATACTTCTAGTATACTTACAAAGACAATTTCTAGCCTGCTCTTCCATCTGGTTGGTTCCAATAGTCCCATTAATATACCACATTTATATTTAAATTAATAAATACAACTGCTATCACTGAATGGAATTCGAACCTAACAGCAGTGTCCACGTTGCCTTCCCTGGCTCTCTTACTTTGTGTCGGCTACAGGAGAGAATATATTGGGAGTTATTGGATTATTCAGCATGTCAAGAGTGTTTGAGAAGAAGCGGACACAGAAAGGGTTTTCAGCCGCAATTGGACTCCCCATATGGCAACAATCAGAGAACAGTAGCAAGATCTGGTATTATTGTCCAGCCTCATAAGCAACCTGGACAGTAAAATGTGGTCACAGCGGATCAGACGTGAGGTGCGCTTGAAAACCTACAGCGGTGTCACGCGCTCCCAGACGAGTGCTTAACCTTGACCTTTGGAAACCACGCTGGCATGAAAGTGACACTCTTACTTCTATCTACTCTCAATTTTGGAGAAAAGATGCAAATATGTGGGCGCAGAATGGTCATGATTTTTAAAATGTATGTGGCCAGTTTGATTCAACTTACATTCAACTCATGGAAGCATTTTTGTGCAGGTGCTTTTTATTTTTTTGCTTTATGTGGAACAAATATAAAAAGGAATGGATAGTTAGCATAAGAAAAAACAGACCTTATGGATGATTTAAAAAAAGATAGACATTTCCAAGTACAAAATTTGATTAACAACAGGGAAACCTAATGCCACTGATGCAAAGCACCTGATTGAGACCAGGCCTTTCAAGATGTGTCCAGCCAGAGTGTGACATCTAAGAGCAAGCAGGAGTCTCTGCAAGGCTGACAACGGTGCCCCCTGCAGGTAATGAGTATTTAAAATCCACTTTTGTTTTTAAAATTGCATGATTGTGTAGCATGCTTGCTAGGTTCGAGTCGCCATTAGCTTTTAACAACTCAAATGTGCGAGGTAAGGGCAAAAAGCAAACTGGCTAGGTTCCATCTCTAATGCTGAATGTTTGCATGCTTTTGCACACAATCTTTGCCATCTCAATATTGATTTTTGTTAATAAGTTCATTTCTGACTCATTGTGGCGTGGGTGTGGTCTCTGACGCAGTGAGCTCCCGGGACAGCGCAGGGGCGGGGTGAACAGGTGTGCTGGGATCTGAAGGTGATTGTGACTCTTTATATGTTGACAGTGACAGTCGGAGGGGAAGGAGAGCGGACGTGACAGCAGAGAGCGGGAGTGTCTGTGTCCCAGTGCAAAACGAAAACCACAGTTATAAATAAAAGTTCTGCTGTCATCACACTCGTGTCCAGCGTGTGCATAACGGGTCAAACTCATTTAAAGAAACTAACCTCAACCTAATGTCTACATAATAGTTTTAAAAGATTAATTCATATTTATTAAAGAATAGAACAAAAGGCAACAGGGGATATAACGATACCAAATAATGTCTTAATTTTGCACTTTTAAATCGTTCATTTAAACGGAATGAAAACTCAAAATTCCAAACACAAGAAAATAAATACTGCAGGTTTAAGAGTTTCCCTGAATATTGGCGCCCAACCACACACTGTAAAACCTAATGAATGTCACACATGGAGGATCCAGTGGGAATTTGCCCCTCACGTCCTGTGTGTAACATGTAACACTCTATCACTGACCAAATCCCTCCTCTTGTTTCAAACTTGCCCAATACCACAAAAACGTAATGAAAAATACAATGCAATGCCATGAAGACAGTTCACCACAATAATGCTTCCAGTACTAGACGGTGCGTCCACTACTTCAACCGGGTTTCACAGTACTAGCTGTTGAAAGACCTGCTGCTGGTAAAACTCTCTTTCTGTTGCCTCCCCCCTGTCAGCACCTCATAAATTATTCTCTGGATCGAGGGAGATGTCTTTGTTTGGCCAGCCCTGTGTGAAAGAGGGATCAGGAAAAAGGAAATGGTGAAGGTAATCATAAGGACGGCCTCTACAGTGTTGTAGCTTGTATTTACAAGCGCTGGGTCAAAGGGAGAAGGCTGAATAACCAAATATCCACAGTAAACCCGGTCTGTGAAAGGAAGATGCAGGGGTAGATAAAGTCACACTCAGGATATTGCCTTGGCTAACTCCAAGTGGGCCTCGTCTTCTCCTCCCAGCTCTGGCCTGCTTGACCGTCAGTTCAACCAGAAGGTAAAACTGTTAACAAGCAGGTCCAGCGAGTGAATAACCAGCTATAAGGAAGTGCTCAACATCAGTTTTTGTTTGTGTTACATGGGACAGGAAAAGAGGAATTTTGTAGGATTTTTCCACAAGTAAAAATTCTTCCTTGGTAACGAAACGAAAGCCCTGTAACTCGGGAAAAACAAATCCTCGTCACGAGCAGACAGGTGCCTGTTCTAAACTCATCAGTCTTCGTATTGACTTTTGGTGTCAGTGGTTAAAATTCTAAGCTATTATTACTACTACTATAATCAGATGGACTTTCTTTAAGAGAACTAAGTAGAAGGACTTTTACACTGCCGAGTAGAGAACACTGTCCATTTCTGAAGGACTGACCTCGTGGCAACCCCACACACCAATCTGCAGGGCGCCGCGCGACTCGTCGATAGCACGTTAAAACTTCGGCTCGACGTTGCAGTCATAGCAGATGAGCTGAGTTTAGGCCTCTTTGAAGAGACCACAGCTAGCACAGAGCCTGCCAACAGGGCCAAAGATCACAGTTCAGTTCTCGTCTCTTCTGCTACAGTGACCACTAAAGTTTATTCATCTGTGTTTTAAATCATCCTTTTTCCTCTTCATCTCACTTGAAGTGGCTTAAAAGTGTTGAGGTTTTTGCCCTCGTGACAACCAGGCACGGCTCCAGGGCCTAATTCCACTTCCCATATGGATACCAATTTTTGGAGCAGACTTTTGGTAAAGAAGCAGGCAAGCAAATGGCACCGAGTTAGAAAAAGCGTAACCCAATATCAATAACTTATGAAACATAAATATACTAAGAGGGAACTGGGAGCAGGAGAAGATGTATGTCATTAAACAAACGGCAAATCTCTTTTCTTTTTCTTCTCTCTCCGCAAAATTTCCTTTTGCCTTTTAGCAGGGAGTGGAATTCATTTTCTTTGTGACTTTAATTCACTGAAAAGACTACTCACATGTCATTTCCACTTTTAATTTAGCAAATGAGGACTCTTGACTGAGCTAATAGCTTTTCCTCAAGGGCATAATTCAATCTGAGACATCAACCATCAAAGTCCTTTTGCATTACTATGTCCGGCGCTAACATGAGGCGCCTCAGCGGGGGGGTGGGGGGGTAGTCCACAGCAGCTTCCATTTATTTTCAGGACCTTTGCAGTAAACAAACATGATGGAGCTGGCCATCCGGCGACAAAGAGCTGCAGTGCTGTCATTTCACTGATTCTGGGCCATATGGTTCATTCTTATCAGAAAAGGAGGTGGTATTAAGACTCCAAGCAGGAAGGAAAAGAAAGACGGAGAGAGGGCAGTTATGTGGAGGGTACATCCTTCAACGTCACATTTATTATTTTACAACAGCCCTCGAAAAGAAGCAGCCTTGAGGCTCTGTCGAATACACAGCACTAATGACAAAAACTGGGGAACTCGGTGAACGGAGCAGAGTGGGCATCAAATGTTCAAGGAAAAAATCAGGGTTTCTTTTTTACCAATTTCTAAACCTTAAAGTTCATGTAGTGCCACGTCAGCCATAATGTTGGTATAAACTAATGCATCTGGCCACAGTGTTATTTCAGACGCAAGCTTAAGAATGAATTGGAAATCCAAGGAGCATTCAAGTTCACCATTTGCTCAAAAAGAAAAGACGGCTCTGTTTGTAAAATATCTTAATACGATACAATAGTGAATGGACTGCCATGGCGCATGTCTAAAGGCAGAAGCTATTAGAGAAACAATGTCGGTTTAACTAGCTCAAAATTGAGCAGATGGCATTTATTGCAAGGGTCAAGATTCCAATGCTAATGATGTATACCTTTGAAAAGTATACGCTCTGAAGTCACTAAGGGCCTAGATTGAGCACGAGTGGCTGAAGACAGACGGAAAAAAGTTTCAACTAAAAAGTATGAGTGACTGCCCACAACAAAAGATGAAACCCAACACTTGAGGAAGGCACCATACGCTATTCACACGAGGAGCTGGAGACCTGGGAATCAGGAAAGGAAAAGTTCCTTTCACCGAGCCACTCAATCATCTCTCTGTAAGCGACTGTCATAAAAGGGCTTCTTTTAAAAGCTTGTAAGCATCTGATTTCATGAGAGAGCGCTGACAAGAGACATGGCTACATCCCCCTGCATGACATAAATCTTTGAATCGGAGGATGCTTTGTGCATTTTAGTGCTAAAATTGAACTCAAAATTCAGGAGTGACAGTTAAACATTTCCTGAATCTTAACCTGAATATCAAATGAAACTGGCCTTTTTGTTCCACCTCGCTGCTTTTTATTATTTTCCCCAATAACTGACTAGTGATGGATTCATCTGTCTTACCTACAGCATTTTTAGTCGCAACATAACCGGTGATTTCAAGGTCAAGGGATGCGCAGTATTTAATGTTATTAGATCTGTATGTCACTTTGAAACCACACGGGGGTCCACATCTATCTTAGAAATTCTTCTCACAATCTGAGGGGCTTTGCATGTTTCCATCTTTGGTGAAGTAAGCTGTCATCCCATTTTAAATTGTGTCTCCAAAACTTGGCTTGGGGTGGCTATTTTTCTGAAAACATCCATGAATGACCACAGAACCAGACTTATTCAAATCACAAGAAAAAAAGAGAAAGGTGGTGGACAGTTTAACGGTATGAAATAGGCTAGCTTATTTCTCTAAGATTAGCAGGTAATTTAATAATGAATTGAATGAGCATAAGTACTCAGTAAAAGTAATGATGTTGAGCTTATGTTCCATTGTTTAAACCAGAATTACTGATTATGTAATAACTCCAGAGTCACTAAATCTGTTACTTTAGCAAACAGTTGGCTAACAACAAAAAAGGACATGGAATGTTTTAACATTCATTTTCAGCTGCCAGGAAACAAAATCATCAAATCTGACCATTGGCCCCCAAAAATGTAGCGCTTTCGCTGCTAACTGTTCCACTGTGTTTGGCTGTGTGGCTGCTTTTATTTCATGTGGAGTCAAAAGGCGGCCTACTGTGGCTGGAACAGTAAAAGTAAAGTTATGAGATGTGCTAAAATACACTGGAAACAAAAAAAACTCGGTTTAAAAATTTAAAACAAACTTCATTTCCAGTGCTAGCTACCATTAAATAATTGTGGTTCATCCGCTCTCTGGAGAATATTTTGTAGGAGCGGTACACATCACATTTCCATAACCAGACAGGACACTGTTCACAATATCAGAATGTGGCACATTTCCTGCATGCAAACACACATCTGATGGAAAAAATCTAGCCAAAGTGGGATAAAATAAAATCTGAACAACATGTGTTCGACACAAAGATATTATTGGAAAAAGATCATCTAACGTAAGAGAATGAAAAAGACAATAAGACAGCGATGTCATTTTCTGGTGGGTGGTTTAAAGAAAAAAGACAACAACCAGATCAGAAGTTTGATGGAAGAGCGCTGAACCCCTACAGCATGTACTCTGAACTCCCAAGCAAAACCTAAAGTATGAAGTTTGGGCTTTGAGCATTACTTCACATGTAACACCATACCTAGCACCTCACTGCTGCTTTGCATATTTATGCATACTGCACAATGTGAAAGAAAAAATCCCTTTTCCCTTAAAGCGCTGCGGTGGCTTTAACACAACATGCTGAATCATCAGACTTTAAATATAACGTTAAACAAAACAAAACCAAAAAAAGGGAAGAATAAGGGTAATCAAAAACACACAGACACAAAAAGATGAGAAAATAAGAAACACTCCTCTTTGGGATTCGTACCCGCCGAGGAACGACCACACCAACTCTACAAAATGTGTTGAAAATATACCAGGAGACAAATGAGAGGTAAAGGAGGCAGTGTGCTGTGGTGCTTTATACAGTCGCATGCTGCCAAGGGAGCCGAAGAGGGGAGAAGCAAAACTCACCATGGAGTTTTAATGGCAAAACATCCCGCCCCAAAGAGGTAGGGTCTTCATGAGAGGGGGGAGGGAAAGGGGGTGTTGGGGGGTGTTGAGGGGTACAGAAATAGACGGAAAAACAATTATTAAAACTAGCACACTTGAGCAAACACACTTTTCACATTATATACTTTTTGACATGTCTGTTTAAGTGCACAACACATACGAGGCAGGAAACAGAATGTCTGTGTGCTAAGATGGATTTGAAGACCTACGGGATACGTCGATGATTCATCTGCTCGAGCTGCTCCGTAAAGCGTGATACCATATATTTGGCACATGCATCACGTCCGCAGACGGATGTTTTGGGTTGTATTTTTCTTCTTTCGACATCTGTCATATTTTTTTCTCTCTTAACTTTAAAGGGATCGGGTACATGTGCGCAAACTTGTACCCAACCGTGTAAACGCAACGCGGGAAAAAAATACTTTGGGAAACTGCTCTGATTGTTGTGATTGGGAAAGAGTATGAAGAGTTTATCCAATTTGTATAACAACTGGGGACACCAGTAAAACTAACAGCACTCAGGCACTGTTGAGACAAGGAGTTGTGTGTTTGCATGCAACTTCTTTTTTTAGTGCAAGTGTGTATTTATGGCTGTGAACTGTCTTATGAATGTGCATGCCTGGTTGGAAGAGACGGTGTTGACAAATGTGTATTCACTGTGATTATGTTAACAAGTATGCAGTGTGTTTGTGCATGTGTGTGTGTGCATCCAAGAGTCATCTAGAGTGTAGTGTCTTTTTCGGGGTGTATTTCTGTCTGTCAGTCTGTGCGTGTTTCTAATGTTTACGAGACATTAGGAGTGGGAGTGTGTTCCTGTGTTTATTCTGCATGTCCAGAGATAGTGACAGAGCTCCATAAACAGTTTACAGTAAATAAGCCGTTTCCCTATAGCAATAAAGGTCCGATGAGACTGAACTCTGTCCCTGCACACCAACCTCCCCCGGCCATGAAAAACAGGATCTCCAACCAACGAAAGCACTCCGTAGTACTTCTTTATTTTATCGCTTTCGCCGCATCCTCCCGGGCCCTCCCAGTGATAGCTCGCAGTCTCCAATTAGTCTTGGTACATGAATGTGTAGCGTGTTCCGCCGGGAGAAAGGGAGCAACAATTTGCCCTGGAATGTCTTACTCCTGGAGTGCGAGTTGACAAATGAACACACTGGTTGGTGTAATGGAGGCCCCTGGTAAACTGCCGCTTATCAAAGAGCTGCACGGAGGGCGGGGGGTGATCTCTAACGTCTTACCCTCCGCTGAGTCTGTTGAACTTTCTGAGCCCAAACTCTGGCCTCCAACTGGTAAATGGATGGACACCAATTGTAGAAAGAAGGGCAGATGGGGTCAGCTCTCCATAGGCATAGCAAAGGCCAAGTAAGCTTTAGGATTTACAATGTGCCACTTTGTCCCTACAGTCTTCCTGGAACATGCTGGTGCAATTTATATACTCGATGGAAATTAATAGCAGCAGAGTTGATGCAAAGAAAGCTGCTACAGAAAGCAGATCAGGTGGAACCGGTTAAAGTTCTTCTGTCATGAGTAACTGGTATTCATAGTAATTAAACATTCAAACAAGATATGTCCTCAATGTCTCTATATCCACAGCTCAGCAGGGAACCACAGTTCATACAGGCAAACACAGAAAACTTTTCAAGAACACAGACTTGAACTTTTAAAGAAATGAACTACAGTGTCACCAGACTTACACAAAGAGCTATTTTCCCCAAACGTGTGCATCAGCGTTGTTTTACACCAGACTTTAAAAATCCCAAACCTATCCTTTGGTGTTACAAATCAAATTGCACACTCCTCGGAATACAACAAAAGCATGAGGTCACGCTGGGAGAACTGTCAACCGTGCTGAGCTGGCAGTAAACAGTTTTGACCTCAGTATAGACAAAGAGCACCCGATTACAGTATGTGATGCAAAGCACGACGGAGCGGGTGTGGTGAGCAGAGAAAGAGTCCCTTATAGGTCACAGGCGTGATGAGAAACAAGTCAAACATGGGTCATTGCTACAGAGAGAAGTCAGAGAAAGAGGGGGGGTGGGATCGACCTGTGAGGGTGACGACCCCACTCCCGGAGAATAATCGTTCACACATTCATCTCTTAACCCGTTGGCCCTAATAGCAGCTCCGCCTGGGCCATTAAAAAGAGAGGGAAGTGAGGTGATTTGTGCAAATGGTTTAGCCTTGCCGCCATGTGGTGCGTTCTCAAAGCCCCTTTTCTAGCTCCGGTCTCAGTGAGCCTCTGCGGCTCTGGTATCGGGATGGCTCACACACGCATTACACTAATCTGTGGGCACATCTGCAGCGGGTCACAGGGTCTCATTTGTTCTTTTGCTGTTGTCTTTTTCGTTACCCTGCCTGCACTCTATTCGCCTGAAAATGTCATCAGCAGGATTTGCTCAAAGGGTGGTATTTTGTTTTGCGTGTGACAATCTTTCCATTTGGATTTTCATTTGTCCGTGTTAAAGTCAGACAGTGTGTAGATGGGATAAGTGTGCAATTCTTCATCCGTTTGCAAATCCCTAATGTGACCGCGACAGGCATTTTGACAAGTTAAATCAATCTGCCCAGTGAATACAGGCACAAGTACAGCTGACTGCAAATATTTCTGTCTTAATCCTGTTCAAAGATGAAGTTGTGACAGGAAAGAGTCTTTGGATTTTGTGATCACCGTCTTTGGGATTTAATTCAACTGGGTCTAACACGCTTCCATATTAGGCTGACAGGAAACAAGAGGTTGGGGCAGAGGTGACACACCTCTCTTTGTTCGGTATTCCCAAGAGACTCTGAGGAGTAGCAGAAGGTTGGCTATGTTCCTCCACTCTCTGCCCTGGCCTCATCTGGAGGGAGGTTATCAGGCAGATGCCTAGCCACATCCGACTCTCCCTATTTTGACGGAGTTGGGGGAGCATCTAAATTAAGAGAGGCGGGGGCTCTGTGTGAATTCGCTGAGGTTTTCTTTGATGTCAAAAACCTGAGGCTTCTGAAGACAAACAGCAGCACAATTTTGCACACCGGTGGTCTGCAGGAGTGCAGCAGGTACAAAGGTATCTATGCAGTCAGCCAGGTCACAGAAAAGGGGAGAGAAAGCTTCATTAGTGTGTGTGCACTTGTGTCTTATTGCAGGGTGCACACAAAGGCAGCTTGGTAGGGAATATAGGTTAAGCAGCTGGTGTGTTCCTTTGCCACACTGCCAACAGAGATCTGCTCATACAGGTGTAAATACAGCTGCTGGACTCTCCTCTCTCCCTCTCTTTCTGTCACATACACACACACTTAACAAAGAGAGAGGGGCTGGCTGCACAGACAGATGGTGCCTGGGCACTACTGTGCAAGTATAGCGTAAAAGCATATGATATCACTCCCCACTCTAGGGGGTCAAACCTGCTGCCTCACTCAGTGTGTGTGTGTGTTGGTGTGGGGTGCAAGCCGTGCGCATGCAGGAGCAGGGAGCACATCTGTGCACCCTGATATATTAATACTGACACCTCCTCTGGACTTGAATGGATGGATGAAGGCGCGCCGAGGCAGTCTACCAGACTGTGATAGTGTCCTCAGAGCCGATACAGCTGTTGGAATGTTGCACAGCCGTGGACAGCACGTGCAAACATTTGCACAGTTTTACACAAACACAATAAGGATATGAGCACCTATATCCTCTGTAGTTAGTAATGACACCAAAGCGTGCACGCTGCTGTATGAGCCGTTTCGTCCGTTATCTGTACATTAGCAGCTGTATTAACCCTGCTAGCTCCAAAGTGAGCGAGCAGAAATATTTCAATATGCAGCTGGAAGAAGATTATAAACACTTAAGCTGAAGAAGGGTTATTAACACTAGCTGTCACGGACAACCACAACATAAACTAACCTGAATGAGTTTGATTCATGAAACTATTAACTTTGTTACATTATGTTTTCTAAAAATTGAGAGGTGAAGAATATGGCCGATATACACACAAACACAATACCTGTGTTTAAAATGAAATCTTCTTATTGTGGTAATAATGAAAACAAGGGAAATAAACATATAATTTGATGTTTTTTACAAACTTGCCACCAGTGTTGGTCAAGTTACTTGAAAATAGTAATTAGTTACTAATTACTGATTAGTTCTCCAAGAAAGTAATCCCATTACCTTACTGATTACTCATTTTCAAAAGTAATTAGTTACTTTATTAATTTTTAAAAACACGATACACAACCTGAGTACGTAATAAAGCAACAGACCTTTCAGCCCAATTCTTTTTCTTCTGCATAATCAATCATATGAAACTGACTCAAATGAAAAAGTCTCTTTTTAAAACTTTTTAATGAGTTTTAATCTTTTAACTTGTACATTAAGCAGGAGTGGGGCGGGTGGAGGTTGGCCCACAGCGGTCATATCAGTGGGGGGTCCGGGGGTTTCTCTGTGAGTGTCACGTTCCCGTGGCAACGTGCTCGCTCAGATTTGAAGTTTCATTTTTCGCTGTAGAAAGACGTTTTCTTCCCACGCAGAGCGTACAGTAATGTGATTACTTCCACGCTGTAAACGCTGCACGGTCGTACTCTCTCCATCACTCCATTTTATCCATTGTTGATCTGCGCACGTCTGTCGCTGCCACGGACGCCGCACGCTCGCACGCCATTGTCATGAGACGCTCACAAACAAAATCACAGTTTAGTAGCGCAGCGTGCTTACTGGATTTTTGCAATAGTAACCCCTTACTTTACTCTTTACTTTAAAAAGGTAATCAGATTACTTGTGTAACTGCCTGTCTCTGCTTGCCACCTCCAGTTTAGGGGAATCCTGGCGGTAAGGTGTGACGCTGAAATCATTAGACATTTCACAGGAACACAGAGGAATTTTTTTTGTCAGGACAGGAGACAGGTGGTTTTGTCACCACCTGTCTCCTGAACCTTTTACACACCTTTGAAGATTTGAGTATTTCAATAAACCTTGCAAAATACAGGTTTTTTTTGGCCTTTTAGTCTTTATTGGATAGGAACAGTGAAGACAGACAGGAGAGTGGGGAGGGAGAGGCGTGCAGCAAAGGGCCGCGGGTCGGACTCGACCTGCTGGGCGCCTGTGCTCACCCATGGAGCTAAACCAGCGCCCACAATTTACATCTTTAAAAAAGAAAAATGTATTCACCTGAACAGACTTTGATGTTTTGCAATTCTCAGTAATTTAGTGAGAGTTTTTTGTGCTAAAGATTGGAGTTTTACACTGAATAAACTAACAAACACAATAATGGTCAAGAAGATTACGGATGCAACAGACGCCCATCTTTATACAACATTAAATATCACAACTGTAAAACCAGAATGCAAACCACCAGGACAAGGACATCTTCATAATCATTCTGGCACGGGACACCACCGCAGCGCATGTGCAATGATCATCTTTACAAAACAAATGAACTTTGCAGGTCTTCTTAATGATTTGGGAAAAAAAGCCTGATGTTGTTTATGTTGACCGCAGGGTCGGGTCCCGATTTTCATCCCCAAAGCTCACTTATCAAATATCACGGGAGAATAAATCCCTTGGCGTCTGTTTGAATCATTATAGCATTTCCCATTCAAACAGGGCATGAAAATTACATTTAAATGAAAATATTAAAATCTTCCCATATTTGTGGAGCCACCTGTACTGTATGTAAATGCACTTAGCAAAGGCCTTTAGTTGTTGATGGTCTTAAAACTACATAATTTCAATGTATGGCAAAGATCCAGATGGAAATAAAAGTCAGAGGTGCATGAGAGCAGATGTGCTTTCACAATTTAAACGCCTTCAAACGTACAAAGCTAGCAAGGCTACACTCTAACATGAGTGTTATTTGAAATCATTGGCAGGATTGAACTTATTTTCTTTTATCGGAGAACGTATTTGTGCCTACCAAAAGAGCCCGCAGACTGAGATCGCATGTGTGTGTTGTGCTTCATTACCCTATGCAAAAAACACGGCGGCCTGAGACAAAAGAAGTCCGTGAGCGTCGGCTCGAGATGAGAGAGGAAAGGCGCTGGCCTATGCAGAGCCACTGCTGATACAACACGCTGTTTTTATAAAGTGATTACTGGGAAGAGACAGAAACTCACAGACTGAATGTGAAAATGTAACAACAGTATGATTTAAATTCCTCCTCTATGGCCAAACTGTAAATTCAGCACAGGTTGCGAAGCCGCCAATAATCCTCTTACACTCTGCACAGTGTTTCAAAGGCTTTGCTTGCGCAATCTGACGAACACTGGAGCTGGACTAGTTCTCTAATTATTACATACGTGCCATGAAAAAAAGTTTCATCTGAAGGGGAAAGATGGCCATCGTGTACAGATCCACGTGCTAAAAAATTACAGTTTTTAATAAGAAATTTATTAGACTGCTGTTTATGGCAATAAAGAGGATAAAGTAAAGTGACTGGCCAAAGCACTAGTGCACAAAGTTATGTATTCTGTGTAATGAGGTAATAAGATCATTTTATTTTGTAGCTGAACACATGTGCTTCATAAATTACAGTTCCTGTGGAGGAGGTGTATTTGTGTGTGTGTGTGTGAGAGAAAGAGAGATACCAACCCTGTGCGCTTGGTGATGGTGCCCAGGGTCATGGGCTGTTTGATCTGAGCCAAAGGCAGCACCACAGTGAGGCTGGGCAATGGGATGAGCCGCGGGTTCCCCATGTTGTTATTGGTGAAATTGTTGTACGAATCCTGGCTGCTCAGTTTGGCTGGAAAACACACAGGAAAATGCGGGATTACTAAACGTGTTTGCAGCGAACAGACGTGCGTGTTCCCTTAACTGCAAGGCCAACCAAATCTCCTATTCATGGATCTGAAGTGGAACATGAGTCACTGCAGGTAATGGTAGCAGTTGGAATCAACAACTTTACATGCATTATTCATCTTTTCTATGCTCAGCGGTTGCTTTTTCAGTTCAGCACTCTTTACAGATGCTAATTCTCAATATTGCTCACTTGGAATTAAATTTAAAATGTCATGTGACGTTCACATCAAATTGCACACTAGGCCACGAGAAGACATCACCCTTCTCTCTTCAGACTGAACACTATGATTATTTTTTTTTTTGGACCCACCATCTTCCTCTCCCAGCCCGTAACACACGCAGAAACACACAACTCAGAGTTCAAGGCCTCCTGTGGAATGATTGGAAATAACTAGCTCAAGATGGTACATTACAAAGGCTCTGCCTCTAGTGCCTGGCAGTCTGTTAATCAAGGCCAATCAACAGGCCTAACGCACATGCACACGCAAACACACCCACGCAGACAGACGATCCAGAGAAACACATCTCATCTCACACACACCGTGTAGCTGCAGCCAAACATAATCAGGCCATGTCAAAGAGCTTCTTCAAGGTCTAATGACCTTAACCAGCTACTTCAGGGAGAGCAGCAGCTAGTTCACTGAGCTTCACTTAACATGCAATTAGTCTCATCTTATTAGCAGAGCAATTTTATATATAAGTCAAAAAGCAGGGTTTTTATTGGGTTACTAACATATTTATTGTTCTTCCCCTTTTAACAATTATATTAACTACATCTTCTAAGGTGAAGAACAATGAGTCCCACTCGAGTAAGATGCTTTAGCGATTGTGAAAAGATGGTGAGAAGAGTTTCTAAACATTTAAACCCAAATGTTACATTGTTTCATTTAATCACCAGAAGCAAAACATGAATCTTTTCTTTCTTCCCTTTTGGCTTTATTTGCCCACCTTTGACAAACTCACCGGTCAGATTTAAGCCTACCCTGTTATATTTCATACTGTAACGACTGCAACCAAAGTTTACCTGAAAACACTGATAAAATCAAACAAAAGAAATCGAAACTATCTGCATGCCAGTAACACCACCATTCTTTTGAGTGCTGCGAGTAAGGGCACCTATTAATACAATGAGAAAAGACACAATTACAAATAAACAGTTACAAATGAAAAACCAAACTATAGGGGTTTGGAAATGTGCATTACAATACAACTGTGTTTTGTAATCCTATGACAATACTGGAATAAAAATTTAAAAAAGCACCCTCCCCATTCAATAGGCGGCCCAAGGAAAATTCCAAGTTCAAGTGCTTTCAAAAGAAATAAAGAGCAAACCTGTGGGTGCACCACAATACACTCTCTGAATGTTTTCCTTGTTCCATTTGTTGCCTTAATAGATGAGTGACAGTCACGTAACATAAAGGAATGAAAAGGAGGGAGGGGGGACACAGACACAAAGAAAACAAGGCAGACATCAAAGGTTACAATAAAGGTAGAGAAGGAGAGTGCCTTGTCATTATTTGGAAGGAGCGATCAAGAGGAGGCTGAATGCAAGCGGAAAGGGGGCCGCTGAGTGTTTTGGTCCAGTCTTTTAGATCATTAACGTGTAGCTCTGAGTTTCATTAGTGCTGCCAAAGCCCTGCTTTGTGGTCCTCCAAAGGCCTGTCTTTTAGACCTCTGCTGGCCAACAATGCCGCGTGACCTTCGCATGGGGAGAGCGGACCATTACGCAAACCTGTCCTTCATTTCCCTCTGCTCCTCTCTTGGTCAAACTGCCTACCCAGGCAACTCCTGAAAGCCATTCACATTTTACAAGTGCTACACACCCCCTGAACCTGGGAAGCACCTTTTGTGTTGAGGAAAGTAGGGCAGATGAGGGAGTACAGAAAAAAAAGAATCTGTACAGGAAGCAGCCTGAAAAGCCATAATGGTGCTTCAGCTAAGAGGGGAGTTGAGCGGGAGGCTTGTGCGCGGGGGCGTCAGTGAATTTAGTATCCTCCGTGCACGCATGCCCCCCGATGGATTATTCGTCGTCAGCCGCGACCCTTAAAAATAAGGCGCACACACCGGGTTGTAGAACAGGTGTGGCTAAACTGAGACGGTGGGGTAATGATCGCTGTTGACCCGGCTGTCAACACGGCACTGTCACTCGGGGCTGAGGGGTCCTTAGCTGTCATAAGCCCCCAGACACAGAAGACGAGTTGGTACGGGCCGTGTTAGAGATCACGGACCGACAGAAGATGATATGTGAACTGGTGGGAGGCAGACGGGAAGCCTGTGTGTGTGTGTGTGGTGTAGACATTCTCACTGAATGGGAATGGTATGCGGGACATTTATCAAGGGAAGGTTTAGGTTCTATTATGTAATATCAGACTTCACGACCAACTCTGTGAACTACAGGAAGTGTGGATGCAATATGGCGTCAGTCCTTTTTAGTTTATTTGGCATGACAGAAGCTGGAGTATGCATAAAGTACCAGAGCAAAAGAAAGAATAATTTTAGTTGCTTATATCAGGTTCCTCCAGACACTGAGTGTGGGCATGGGCCTCTGCAGAGGACTGTGTGGTTAAAATTAATATTTAATCCGACAACAATTTAATCACTGATCACTAATAATGATCTGATGCCATTAGTTTCATTTTGCATACACAAAAATCCAAATTGTGTAAGCATTTAAAGACTTTTTCATTTCAAGCTCCACAAACTGATGCGAGTGTTACTGCTGCATGTACACAGATTATTGTTACGAACACTGCAACAGCAGCAGGTGGGGAAGGCTGTGAGCTTGGGCACTGTTAAAAGATCTTTGGCAATGCGATCATGTGAAACTTCTCTTGTTTGCTGTTATTTTCATAGTCAGAGTGGTGGAGCAGATGTATGCAAACAACTGATTAAGGGTGTGTCTACATCCAGCTATGGTAAACAGTGGGAGTGGAAATCAGGCCTGTGCACGCGTCTATTTATATCAATTATTTAGAAAACAAAATGTTGTGTGAGCACAGTCATTTTAACTATTTATACATGATTGTAAGATTTTAGACTTTACAGTTTATTAACAATGACAGGTGAGTAAGACAACAGCACCATTTTCTTACTGATACTATCGCCGCAGCAAACCATTACATTTAGTACCTGCTAATGTCACCTGCTCTGCTTTTATCACAATCTTGCTGCATTTTAACTTTAAAGGCTTGCTGCGTGTCCTTACAGCGGGCATCTAAAATCATTTGAAATCATTTACAAGTGCAGAAAGAAAACAAGCGAAACGCAGAGCGAGTCTACTACAAAGAGAAAGACAAGGTAGACAGATGAGAAGCGCCTGGCAGACAGATAGCTCTAGACGGAGGCCATGATTTGATTAATGACTGGGGCGTGATGTACCCAAGCACTGATACATGACATCCCCATGGAAAGAAGATCCATCAATGCAAATCCAGCTCCGTTGCCGTCATCCAGAGAAAAACCTTGACCCTGGCGAAAAGTCATACCAACACCTGACCCTCGCCTTTCTTTCTCCCCTAATCCAACCATCCATCCAGCACTCCTGCATCCATCCTGCCTTGTCTCAACAGCATTTGCATTCTCTTCTCACATTAAGCCTCTCTCTCTATCCTTCGCGCTCTTTCTCTCTCCTCAGCCTCCCCGTGTCACGCTATCTCATGTTTCTCTCCCCTCTTTTAATACCCTATTTGCATCCAATACAAGCAGGTGGCTTGCAACTTGGAGCCGATGTGCGAAAGGACAAGCTCTGAAGACTGTGCGCCCAAGCAAACACTGTGTCTTATTTGAATTGTTCTGCCAGAGAGGATATTTCAGTCGGTGGGGAAAAAAAAAAGCAAACTGCAATGGAGGGGAACTGAGATGGGGAGGCAACAGGTTAGGCAGGTGACATGTTGAGTGATGCTCGGGGAGCTAGGAGAGACCTTGGACTCGAGGATGATATTGCAGCTGTGAGACAGAGGGGCAGAGAAAGAGACGGAGACGGTGTCCCAGTAGGGGAATGCTTTTATGTTTTTTGCTTTTGAAGATATTTTTGGACAGAAGCTGATATTCCTCCTTTGCTTACTTCCCATCTCATGGTCAAAAAGATAAAAAGCCTCTGTCTTAATGCAAATAGCAGTCGTTTCAGCGTGTAATAAAAACTTCGCACGAGCTAAACAGGAGAATGGTTCTAGAGAATGTGTCTCGTCAGGGTGGGGGAAAAAATTTCTGCATTTGGATGATGGATCACTATCAGCCAGTAAAACTCTCATTGGGGATTAACGGCTGGGTGAGGCAGGTTTCATCACAGGATTTCATAAACAAACACACCAACAAGACTATACACGCTCAAACTGGATTTGAGCTTGATCCCACAGAGTGTAAAACTGCCAGCGCTCAAAGTGTTGAGCACAATTCTCTCACAGTGGAATTAATTGTGTGGTTGTCTGCAGACAGAACGACACCCACATACCGTCCAGTTTTTGACATGAACAATCACTTATTGCTCTGATACTCTGAACTCTTTGAAGGTCAAACAACCAATAACCCGATCATCTAGTTTGACTTAACAGCAATACACTTGAAATTGTGAATAGCTTTTATTTCTGTCAATAGCACTGTCTCCACTACACCCAGCACTGGGTGTATTTGGCTGAAGACTCTGTTTAAATCATTTTCCAGCTTTACTGTTACGAACTGGACAGACTTTGGCACGTTAAACTGTGTGGAGGAACTTTGGTCACACAGGAAGTGGATTTCACAGCCTACGTAAATTAGTTCTGGGTGTCAAACTTTACTTTGGTGCCAGAAACATGTCAATGGCGTAAACATCAAAATAGCCTCGAACGCTTTATATAGCCACAAACATATCAAAAGACGACATTATTTATATATAATCGCAACAATGCCAAATTTCCTCCATGAAGTGGGTGTAAATGCTGGCTCGCCGCTTTTCAATCAAGCATC